GAGTTTTCGGACAGAAGAGGGACGGAAGAGTGCTGTCGGAAGAGGGGCAGCAGGAGTAGAGGCAGGGGCACGTGAGATGCCACAGTGGTTTAGGAACCGGAAATAACTGTTTGTTGTTAGGCAGAGGCTGAGTGTCGATGAGACAAAGAGGAAGAAGGAGTGGGAGAAGTCAGGAGCTGGGGAGGGGGCAAGGCTGGATCCTGCAGGATTGGGGGGCAGTGATGCTTCAAGGGTGACCCATCGGCTCTTGACCTCTGGGGGCCACAGCTGCTTCTCCGCAAGACGTTTCTTGACTCTGCACCTTCTCTTCAGCAGTCGTTTCATAGGGTCCACCCTATGATAGAACCCTGGGGCTATCAGGGACTTCTCCCCCTGGGGGTTCATCACCCCCAGCTTCCATAGGAGGTGCGGATCCTCAGAGGAGCTCGCAGGCTCTCGGCCTCTGGCTTCCGCTCTCCCTGCGGGGCGCCCAGTTTCAGGCAGAGGCAGCCTCCTGAGAAAGATGGCCCCGCACCTCCAGGTTTAGCAGCTCCTGTTCTAGCGGCGATCCCAGAGCCAAGTTCAATCCTCCGGCCAATGCCTGAGAGGCCAGGGAATGGAGCAGACTTCACGTGCTCTCCATATCGCTCCCACTCTGCCCCATGCACCAGAGTGTGGCCGTGCAAGGCAGGGAATAACTTAACGTGGGCCCTCCTCGCCACGGCGGCCATCGTAACGCCCACCAAATGACGCTCGGTGGGTCTCCGCAAATGAAGTGTTTGCAGCCCACAGAGGAGATTGGGTAACTTGCTAATAATGTAAATAAGATGCACGGCCCCCTTGGGGATGGGGGGGCCATGCAAATTAGATGTATAGACTCCTCAGGAAGGGATTGATTGGTTTAGTCCAACCACTAATCCCAGAGGCAGGAAGGGACCTGACCCCTACCAAGAAGAAGAGATAGGAGGGGAGTACTGTACATCTTTTGGGTCTGCAGTCCCTGCACGGGGAGCCTTCTGTCCCAGAAGTCAGACGGAGAGGGCTGTGACCGCAGGACAGCCAGAGGGAGTGAGCAGAAGCAGAGGAGGAATGGTGGCAGGGAGGCAGCAGAACCAGGAGACCAGCAGAAACCCAGCAGGAGATGGTGCACCATGCTTCCCAGCCCACCGACTGAACACTGGCTGGCAGAGCTTAAAGAACTTGCCCGAGCAGCGCAGACGCAGGGCAGAGGGGCCAAGGCCCAGAGTGAGCCTTGCCTGCAGGCATGATTGAGAAGTGGCTGTCCTGATCGAAGAACTCTAACCTGCGTATTTCCGAACCCGAATCGCACCCTACTCGCTCTTTCATCAGCCCCACAATGCTGAGTGTGGTCATGAGTTCCGTGCGGCTGTTGCAATGACTGATCCAACCCTGGAGAGACATAGACGTTTGGCGTCAGAATTGGCACACAATTGGAAGGGTGAAGGCAGGTCTGACCTCTGCCTCCTAGGAATCAGCCTTGGGGTGTTGAGATAGAGGCGTCTCTCCCCTTGCGGTGAACGTGGAGGTCAGAGGCTAGTAGATTCCTCGGGGGGTAAATACCTTGGTTCCTGGCTTTGCACGAGAAAGAAATTCACGACCGCAGCCTGGTTTGTGCTCCAAGTGGGTTTTTATAAAGGATAGAAGAAGTTTCAGGTTTTACAGTTAACTGAACACAGGACTGCACCCCCACATGGGGCGGCAGAGAGAGAGAGAGAGAGAGAGACAACATGGCCCGGTGGCAGGCAAAGGAGCAGCAGGAAAGAGAGCAGCCATCTCCAGATGTCACATTTTAGGGCCTTCTGCTGGGAGGAGTGGTCAATGGTACTGGTTGACCCCATTGGCTGAATTAAGCCCACCTGGCCTAGATTGGGCCAATCCAGGTGTACTGCCCACCTAGGTGTACCAGCCCTCGCACCCCACCCCGGCTGGGGGCCGGAATTGGTCAGTGGACACCCTGCTCCCTGTTCTGCTACCTAACAGTGCCACCACCACAACATGTTTCCAGGAAGTTGTGGCTCCCCAAGGAAAACCAGGCGCTGTTTTCTTAAGTCCAGGAAAGGGAAGGTGGGTAACATTCCAAAGCTGACCCCCAACCTGGGGTTTGTAGTCCTGTGGATTCTATAGTCGGGTTGATGGGGTGGGGGTGGGGGGGCGGCGATTGGCCTTCCTTATGGCGGGAGGGAGGTCTGGCCTGAGATGCGGATCTGGGAGGGGCAACGTACAGACGGTAACTGTACAGACGGTAACTGAAGTCGTGACCCAGATGATGCCACCCAGACTTGGGAGAGCTGCGGGCTGTGCCCGTGGAGAGGGTGGAGATGGGGCGGGTTGCAGATGAGTTAGCCTTGGGCATGAGCCAGCGGGAGGGAGCAGGGTGGATGACAGAGGTGAGTGGAGGCCCAGGAGTTGGGAAGGGTTTCCATTTTCTCAGTGGGAGTGGGGGCCCTAGGGTTCACTGAGAGGTGCTACTGCCTAGCTCGAAGCCATTGTCCCAATTCTGCTTCTGTAGAACCCCCAGACCGACCATCTGAGGCCTCCCAAGGGCCCAATAGGCCCAGAGGGATGCTGTGTGTACACATGCTTAGAGGCAGTTCTGGAGTCGTCAGGGGACCTGGGTTCTAATTCCAGTCTGGACCCTGCCAGCCGTGTACCCTGGATCCAGCTGTTCTTTCTGAGCCTCCGTTTCCATCTGCACATGGGCATTGCGCCCGGGGACCACTGCACGGTGGCTGATGCCCTCTTGGGCCCTTTGCCGAGGGGTTTCATCTCCCAAGAGAGGGGTGACTGGCTCAAGGACCCACGGGCCACAAGCCGAGGGCCAGGGTTTGAACGCAGGTCTCCCCGTTGAGGCTGTGTGCTCTCACCAGCCCCTCTGTCCTGCCTGTTGGGTTAACAGGCCACCAGGCCCCTGAGAGGTGGCGACCACCCGTGCTGCCTGAAGCTCCTTGGGAAAATGGTAGAAATCGTGTCAGAGCCCACCTCACTTTGGGGGTGGGGGGGTGAGGACATTGGGGATCAAGATGAGCTCAGGCTGAGGTCTAGGAGGTAGAGGTCAGGGAGACCCTGACTCTTCCAACGTTTTTACTGATTCGGGAGCTAGCTGTCCCTCACTCTACTACTCTACTGGCCTCAGGAATCCGGTGCAATGGGCTACTCAGAGCTCACAGGTCAGGCTTATAAATAAGTGGTTTACGAAGGGCCAGGGGAGGGTGTGGTGGCCTAGTGGTTATGTCGTGGTTACGCATTGGGCTGCTAACTGCAAGGCCAGCGGTTCAAAACCGTCAGCCACTCTGCGGAAGAAAGGTGAAGCTTTCTTCTCCCGTCACGAGTTGCCGTCTTGGAAACCCACAGGGCAGTTCTGTCCTGTAGGGTCGCCATGAGTCAGAATAGGCTTGATGACTGTGATTTTTATTAAGCAACAAGGAACCACCCAAGATCAAGATCATCAGGCTACAACTCAGGGTCAAGATCAGGAAGCATGTAGGTTAAGTCGGGAAGGATCCCTGAGTGGAAGGCCATCCAGTGGAGGCCAGTTCTCTCAGCCCTGCCAACAAGCAAGCCCTGCTCTCTGCCGTGCATGCCCCTTCTCAGCCTGGAAGACCCCCTTGCGGCCTCTTGAGGACAGGCCTCCCTGCTGCTAAGTGACCCAGCTCAGGGCTGTTTGAAACCAGCTCTCGATGGTTCTTTTCCATCGCTCTCTGCTGTCACCACTGGCTTGTCCACAGGGCCCATTCCAGACCTCTGCGTGTCTTCAGTGTTACAGCCTTGAGCTCTTTGTGGAGCTCCCGGGCCTTCCCTCTTTCTGCTTCCGTCTGCCCACCTGTGTGGGGTTGGCTGCACAGAGAAGTAAACTCAGTTTCAAGACACGGCCCTCCCACCAGGGCCACAAACCGACCAATCTTCTCTCAGTCGGCCCCAGATACTTCATTTGCATCCTGGGTTCTAGTCGCTCCATCTGCATGAGCCTATTGACCAAGTTTTGCCAAGTGTGCGAAACAGACCAATCCCCGGCAGACTGCGGCCCAGGGCCAGATCCCAAATATCGAGCCACGAGTTGCCTGCAGCTCCCACAGGAAGTGTCAATGAACCCAGACAAAAGTCACAAATCCTCTGGGGTAGAAAATGAGGGCAAAGGTGACTCCTCGGGGTTTAGGGGTTCATTTTCAAAGAACCAAGACAAGGCCACATGCAGCAATTCATTTCACCATATCCCCTAGGCCACCCCTTCAGCTCCTAGGGGACCCCCTGTTGCCCCCTTCCTTTCGCCTCATCTCCCGTAGCTGGTTCATCACAGCGAGAAAAGGCCTTTCCTTTAGTTATGAAGGCAGATCCATGCCCTTCAACCTACCCACTGTGCTTCTTAGGGCAGCTCTGGGCTGGGGGAGGGTCTGCTGGGTGGTTCCTGGCTGGTACTGGTTTGCCTTGGCATGGTCAGGGGGTTTGTGACTGCCCAGAGGAGAAGGGCATTCAGGGTATCTGAATTCATGGGCGCTCACTAGGCCTGCCCTGGGTGTGTGTTGACCCTATGGAGGTGAACTGCTGGGTCCCAGGCCTCCAGGGTCCCTCCAGGGACTGTGGAGGTGGTAGAATGAACGAGAAGCGTGGTGTTAAGAAACCCAGACCCTGACAGTCTCTAACTGTGTGGCTTTGGGCAATGGTGTTTGTTTCCTGAACCTCTGCCTGCTTCTTATATAAAATGGGAGTAGAGGAAATCATTTGTGTGCAAGTACCCGGAAAAGGGTTTGTTCCAGAAAAGATGCCCTGTAAATGCCGACTTGTCTATCCACAACCTAGTGTAAACCAGACAGGGCCCAGAGCCATTTACATGGCCTTCTGGGCTAAGGGGCAGGTGTCAAGGGGGGGGGGTTCAGTCTGGTGGCCACTGAGCAGGCAGGAATAGCAGTGAGTCCCTGCTCTGGGTCCTTCACGCCTGTGTCTCCCTGTCTGTCCCTCTAACCTCGCTCTTCCCTGGCTGGGGTCTGCTCTCCTCCTCCCTCCAGGTATGCGGATTCTGGTGAACCTGCTCCTGGACACCCTCCCCATGCTGGGAAATGTCCTGCTGCTCTGCTTCTTCGTCTTCTTCATCTTTGGCATCATTGGTGTGCAGCTCTGGGCCGGCCTGCTGCGCAACCGCTGCTTCCTGGAGGAGAACTTCACCCTGTGAGTGCAGCCCTAACGAGCCGGGTCCGGGCAGCAGGGTCCCTTAGGGCTAGCAAGGCCTTCCTCATTGAGCACCTCGTCCCCATCCCTGGTCCCCCAGGTCCAGAGAGGCCAAGGTGGGTTGTCAAATTATGACCACAAAACCCTGTTGTGGCTGTCATGTGCCAGGGAGTCGCGTCCGGTGCACAGCGACCCCCTGGACAATAGGGCGAAACGCTGACCGGTCCCATGCCATCCTCACAATTGTTCCCTTGTTTGAGTCCACGGATGCAGCCACTGCGTCCATTCAACTTATCCAGGAACTTCCTCTTTCCCGCTGCCCCTCTGCTTTCCCAAGCACGATGTCCTTCTCCAAGGACTGGTCTCTCCTGACCACATGTCCAAAGTACGTGAGATGAAAGGGTGCCATCCTTGCCTCTAAGGAGCATTCTGACTGCACTTCTCATAAAGCCCCGGAGTTTAAAAACACACTCTTAGATGCTGCCTTTGTTGCTTTGTGCTGCTGTAACAAAAGCAGGACGAGTAGGTGACCTTAAAGAACAGAAATTCATTTCCGCGCCGTCTGTAGGCTCACAGTCCCACCGAGGGACTGGAAAGCTCAGTCCCCCGTGGTTGGTACCTGCCGACACTCCTTGGCACCTGTCTTCCCTGCGGCACTCTCTTTATAACTCAGACGTGGTCAGGGTTGGGGCCCACCTGAACAGGACCTGGATGGATGAACGTCACAAAGAAAGGCCTCTGTCCAAACAGGATCGCAGCCACAGGAATAGGGTCCGGTAGTTCAAAACCTGCCTGGGGCACACAACCCAATCCATCACGGCCCAGAACTCAGCAGTAAAGTTCCAACGCATGTGGTCCCCGAGAGGCAAACGAGGAGGCTGCTGGGTGGGAGGGGCAAGGGAAGGGAAGGCATCTCCAGGCAAAGGGGAGACCAAGCCCAAACCAAACGCACTGCCACGGAGGCGATTCCGACTCAGTGCAACCCTCCAGGGCAGACTAGAACTGCCCCTAGGATTTCTGAGACTAAAGTTTGGGGAGTAGAAGCTTTATCTTTCTCCGCGGAGTAGCTGCTAGTTTCCAACCACTGACCTTGTGATGAAAGGCCCAGCGCATTACCCACTCCGCCACCGGGGCTGTCAAAGGAAGACACAAGACCTCAACGTCTGCCCCAGACCCAGGCTGTCTCGGGCCAGCACCGGCATGTGTGGGGGCTCTGATGTGTCTGTTGTGTGTAAAGGTGAGGGTGGCCATTGGGGAGACCATTGGGATAACCCGTGCTTGGCTCTTGGAGGGCGCCAGCTTGGTTGTCTGGGCAAACTGACATCTGCAGAACCCCTTCTTGCCTTGTGACGAGGGAGAAATGGAGTCTTGCGGCACATTGAAAGAGCCCTGGTGACACTGAAGGAGCCCCGTGCAGTGGTTGCACATTGGGCTGCTAACCGCAAGGTCAGTAGTTCCAAACCATCAGCCGCTCCATGGGCGAGGGATGTGGTTTTCCACTCCCGTAAAGACCGACAGCTTGGAAACTCACCAGAGCAGTTCCACCCTGTCCTAAAGGGTCGCTGTGAGTCAGCATGGACTCAATAGCAGCGAGTTTGGTGTTTTGGTTTTTGGTGGTGCTGTGGGTTAGATGTTGGGCTGCTAATGGAAAGGTTGGCAGTTCAAAGCCACTCCATGGAAGAAAGATGATGCTATCTGACCTGTGATGTACGGTGTTGGGAACTCTGTATAGGGTCACTATGCGTTGTGATCGACTCACATATATTACACATTTAGGAATTCCTGGTGGCGCAGTGGTAAGGTCTTGGCTGTGACCAGGTCAGTGGTTCAAGGCCCATCAGCTACTCTCTGGGAGAAAAGGCTTGGTCATCTGCTTCTGGAAAAATGACAACCCTGGACACCCCGAGGGCAGTTTGACTCAGTCCTGTAGGGTCCTGTAGGGCGGAACTGACCTGATAGCGTATCAAACAATCTTACGCATCAGGGCATTGTGCCTGCCTCCACACATAGACGTCCACAGGAGTCTGTGCGGTCCCACTATGTGCCTGGGAGACAGGAGCAGAACAGGGTCCTCCATCCTGTCGGTGACATCCCTAAGTGGCTCCTCTTATCTGGCATGTGCTCCGGCTGGGGATGAGGTGAGGGTCCAACTATTGGAGAACTCTCTGCGCCTGTGCCAATGGCTCATGGGAGACCATCGAGGATGACTGTAGGGGACCTGGGGAAGTGCTTGGGGCCAGACTGACTTCCTCCCCCGGAGTCTGGATGAAATCAAACAGCTCCTCAGAGGCTGGGCTCAGCCGCTGGTCTGGCCTGAGCAGGGAGCCCTGTGGGTAAGGGTTGTGTGCACATGTGTGGGGCGGGGTCCTGGGGAGGGGTTCAGAGGAGCAGGAAGGCGTGGGGATGAGTTCATCTGCGGGGACTCAGGACATAGCCAGGCCCCTCAAGTGCACACGGACCTTGCCCCAGAGAACCCCATGGACGCCACCTGGGCCCGATGTAACCTCTGAGGAGGGCCCCTCACCCCTACTTCCCTCACACTTCATCACACTCGCCAGCTCGTTCTTTCTCTCGGTCTGAAATGGTTGCCTATTGACTTGGATTCACGGGGGCTTGTTATTGTTCCTGCCATTCAGTTCCATAGCACCTAACACTGCATGACCCCGCATCATCCTCACAAGTGTGCCCATGCGCGAGCCACTGATGCAGCTACCGTGTCCATCCATCTTGCCTTCCTCTTTTTCGTCGCCCCTCCACTTTATCAAACATGACGTCCTTCTGACAACATGTCCAAAGTATGTAAGACGAAGTCTTGTCCTCTTTGCCTCGAAGGAACGTTCTGGCCTTATTACTTCGTCCGATCTGTGGTCCATGGCACTTTCAGCCTTCTTCTCCAGCGCCACCGTTCAAAACGCATTGATTCTTCTACAGCTTTCCTTATTCAGTGTCCAACGTTCACACACGATGCATGGAGAATACCATGGCTTGGGTCGGGCGCACCTTAGTCCTCAAAGAAGCATCCTCGCTCTTCAGTGCTCTTGAAAGGTCTTGTGCATCAGCTGTACCTAATGCAGTCCGTCTTTTGATCTCTTGACTGCTGCTTCCATGGGTATTGGTTATGGATGCAAGCAAGACAAAATCCTTGACAACTTCAACCCTTTCTCCATGATGTTACCTATTGGTCTAGTTGTGAGGCTTTTGGTCTTCCTCACATTGAGTTGTAATCCCTATGGAAAGCTACAATCCTCGATCTTCATCAGCAAGTGCTTCAAGTTCTCCTTATTTCCGACCAGCAAGGTTGTGTCATCTGTTAATACGTCTTCCTCCAAGCCTGGTGTCACACGCTTCTTCATGTAATCCAGCTTCTCTCATGATGTGCTCAGCATACAGATCAGACAAGTATGTGGGGCGGTGGAATTCCCATTCTTCTCAAGGTGATCCACAGTTTATTATGGTCCAAAGCCTTTGAAGAATCCATGAAACACAGGTTAACATCTTTCTGGTATTCTCTACTTTGAGCCCAAATCAATCTGACATCAGCAATGCTATCCATTGTTCCACATCTGTGTTAGTCTGGGTGGACTAGAGAACAAAGTCACAGACAATCACATGTGTATGAGAAAGAGCTTTATGCAAAGAGTAATTGTACATTAAGAAGACATCCCTGCCCAGTTCAGATCAAGTCCATAAATCCAATATTAACCCATATGTCCCATACCAGTCTATACATTCCTCTTCAGACTCACAAAACATATGCAGTTACACTGAGTGCAGGATGATTACAGTCAAGTGGGTGCAAAGTCTTGTGGATCCAGTGGCAGTGGAAGCATCTCAGCACTGGCCTGGGGCTCCCCGTGGCTCCTTCAGCTTCAGGGTTCTGGCTCCATCAGCATAGCTGCATGCTGTTTGTCAGCAGGAGGATGAAGCAGAGAGAGTGTGTCTCGTCTCCAGGGAAGAAGACAAGAGTTCCCAGAATCCTCAGGAGAAGGCCATGCCCACACAAAGACACGATTGGCTATGACCGACAATCAGGCTCCACCCCTTCACTCGAGTTGGCAGGAGATTATGTATCTGCCACAACGTCCTCTTGTGAATCGGCCTGGAACTTCTGGCAGTTCCCTGTCAATGTGTTGCTGTAACCATTGCTGGATGATCTTCAGTAACATTTTACTTGTGTGTGACATCAATGATATCATTATATAGCTTGATCATTCTGGTGGGTCACCTTTTTTTTTTGGAATGGGCACAAATATGGATTTCTTCTGGTCAGTTGGCCAGGTAGCTGTCTTCCAGATTTCCTGCCATAGAGGAGTGAGTGCTTCCAGTGCGGCTTCAGCTTTCTAAACATCTCAATAGCTATTCCATCAAGTCCTAGAGCCTGGTTTTTGGCTAACGCCTACTGAAGGCATTTGAACTTCTTCCTTCAGCACCATTGGTTCTTGCTCAAATGCGACCTCCTGAAATGATGGACTGTCGGTGAGTCCTTTCTGGTACAGTGACTCTGTTTATTCCTTCCATCTTCTCTGGATGCTTCCTGCATCATTCAATCTGTTGCCTATAGAATCTTTCAGAATTGCAATTCGAGGCTTGAGTTGTTTTCTTGCGTTCTTCCAGTTTCAGAGATGCTGAGCACGTCCACCCCCTTTGGTTTTCTAATTCTAGGTCCCCTCCCAGCCGATTTTGGCTCAACAATGACTCGGATATCGATCTTCATGCATCCCACTTCATTTTGGACCTTCATACTTCACACATTCCAAGTTCCAATCGTTAGAAGGTTTTGGGCCCCGTTTCTCTTTTCCTTGAGTCAGCCCCCCTCAGCAAATGACAACCCCAAAGGCGGCACTCCCACAGGCTTACCTGACTCACGTCACCGTGGCCGACTCCCCTCCACGAAATCATCTCCTTTCCAGTCACATTCTGTGTGTCCCGGACTTGAGGGTCCATCTGCCATCAGCATCTCTGGCGACGCTCTGTTTCCATTGTTTAGGCTTTCGGTAGTT